ATGTATGGTTGGAGCTGCTGCGGATGTTCTGGGCATTTGCTGTCGCAGGTCTTTGGCCTTGTGAACACTCAGCTGCGAGCTATTGCCAGGTCGCCTAGACACATCACACATACCACCAACGAAGATGTGTATCTGGAGTCTTTCCCCTCAGTCGGCCCTTTTCTCCAGGGGATGTGGCCTTCTCCATGGTTTTAGTGCCTATCATATAAGAGATTCATTCATATCCCCAAACTTGTAATACATAAGTCTGAAATATATTCGAAAAGATTGTCCAGCATTGTCAAATAGTGGCGTTCTGGGTTTAGGGTTCCGACAAGAACTAGACAGGATTCTAGACTCTAGAAGTTCGCAGCAAAGACTTGACCGAATCCGTGATCCGGTCCGCAGCTCGGGCAGCTCGGGCTCTGAACTCTTTGACTGAAGAAATCGATGATTCACTGAAGATTTTTTCTTGCAAGGCGGCAGTCTCTCAGGCTCAAGGTTAACAGGCGGTTTGGGCATGACGTTAAGGGTTGGAAGTTGAAGGTTTTGATTTGGGGGTAGAGTGCAGGTGTAGTATATAGTATGGTTCGGAATTTTGCTGGCTCCTGAAGCTTGATGTCTTGGTATTGGAAAAATGAAATTTTCAAGCAACTTCAAACACTTGGAATGAGCAGGTTGAGCACAAGGTCTGGTTCATGGCTACGGGTCGCCAAGTTAACCTAGCTTTAATTAAGTCCGCTTACAAGCATTGAGCATATGGGCTTAAAGGTGACTCCTAAATGATGGGATCCATCGTATCAGGACCGATAAATTAAATTCCTTAATAATACACTTGAGTCCTGAGAAAGTTCCCTTTATTATTGCACTGCATGGTCCATGAAACTGAAAATCCCGCATCGCAGCCTGAGCATTAATACTGGGACGTAGGGATTCGGGTTATGGGGGATTCAAGGTATTTCAGGTATATAAAACCGTGAACCCTTCCCACCCTAAACCATGTGCTCACACCAGACTTCGGCAGTAGCAAGGGCCACTCAGCTGAGTGCCGCAAACTTTGTCTGACAGATGTACCTGGAAGGACTTTCAATTGGGGTGTCTGAAAACCTAAAACTAAGGATCTTTGTGTTGTTATGGAGGATCCTAGTCTTATGCGGGGTGTCCTAGATGTCCCTTGTGTTTTCAAGATCCTTCTTTCTTCAGCAATTGAGGGGGTTTCGCGATCACTGTAAGCCTTGAGAAATGTTAGGGATACAGCAAGAGGCTACGAAGTAGTGGATAGTGGAGGTTGACATTGAAGTCAGGGGCACCAAAGCCAGAAACACATAAACGGCCAAGTTTCCAAGGGCTTCTTGTATTGCGTATTGATTTTACGGCTTAAGTCCTCGAGGATTAGTTTTAGTTATCCGAAGGCTTCAACCCCAAACACCAAAAACCGTCCTAACACAGATCCGGAACATAGCATCCCTTCAAGTGAACGGTCCTCCGAAAGGCTTGGTTGCTATGAGTGAATTTACATGGTTTAGGAGTTTAGGGTTAGAGGGCTAAGGTCTCAAGGTCGCGATTTGTCTGGAGTTGTCGACTCCGACAAACCGTGAGTTTGACAGAGCTGGAACCCGTTCACTGCAAGGCCCGAACACCCATGAAACAGCAGAAATACTCACTTCCACACCCAACTCGCGACAAGTTCACCCACTAAACCCCATCTAAATCCTAAACCCCAGCGTGTTTGATCCGGGTCGCTGGCATCTTCGCACATGCAGACCTGGCATGCAGCAGGGTTTTCATAGTGAAAGATGTTTGTGTTGTTGTCGGTGCACGGGTCTGGGGTTGTTCTAAGAGATGCCGGCTTGCAGGAGTCCGGGTGCATGCTCTCGCTGTTCAGGTGTAGGTCGGAATGGCTACGAAATCTGACTTGCGAATGCAAACTAACCCCCCCCCCTGATTACCTGTCAAGGGCTTAATCGTGGAGGCATATGGAGGTCTGGACAGAAGGTTTCTGCAAATGACCAAGTCAGTACCCAGCAAAGGCCAAACAATACACCCTCAAACCTCAAGAAAGCGCCGCGACCCTTGTGAAACCCCTCTTGAAACCTAAATCGGCTTCGTGAATTGAAGATCAATATCATATTGGGTTGCAGTCTGGCTAGACTCTAGATTGAACCAATGAACAAAAACCCTTGAATGCCCCCAAACGATATCGCCGAACTTGGACAATATCTCAGGCGACATGTTTGGCAAGAATGTTCGATATGCAAGGCATTGGAGAATGTTTGCATTGATTGGCTTGTTGTCCCGCAAGGACAAGAATCACTTCTTTCCTGTTCAAACAACAGTTACAACTCAATATGCCTGCTGCTGGCATTAAGCCTCAACCAACTAAAAGTGTCGGTAAACCGACAGCCTCCTGGGCAGTTCCGAAACCAAGCATCTGAAATTGCTCAAGTCTGCAAAGAATATGGGGAAATGGGCAAAGGAGCATAACAGTCAATTTTTAGAAACCATGACCGTCGGCAAATATTTCTCCTTCCACCGAAGACTGCGAACACTGCGGATCCTTCGGGAAAGAGCTGTTCTGAAGCAGTGCTCGGCCGCATCTGTGAAGAATGGAAATATGGAACTGTAAGAGATATATACTGCTTGAAAAGTATATATGTGGTTAAGGTGCAGGTCAAGAACGGCCACAACACTGCTCACGAACTCTCCAGCGAGCAGCTCAGGATTTCAGGTCCTGGCCCGCTTAGATGCAGGCTCCGAGGACGAAGCCGGCTCTGCCGATTCCTTGTTTTTGGCATCGTGCCAGCTCCAAAGCCAAGCGACGACTTCAGCTTTCGCCGATTCAAAAGTTCGGCTCGCACGATTGCTTTGATGCATCAAAGCTCCAGACGGTCGATAAGCACGACTGCAGCTCTCCTTGCCTTGCCACTTCTCTCCGGACGGAAGAAAAGCCTGGATGTTGGGACTCCCAGATTGTGGAGTATGCAAAGATAATCTGCAGCCCTCTGGAACCGGATCATCCACCACGGAGACCTGACCAAGGCCTCTCTCAGAAGCCGGCCAAGCTACGGCTCTGGGTCGAGGCTCTGCGGCCTCAGGCTTTGTTGCAGCATCAGCAACTTCGGTGGCTTCCATCTTCGCGAGCAGTCGGTTCAACAACTCGGCTTCGCAGGAGGCGTCGAGCCCCCGCACTTTGTCGTCGTCATCGAAATCACAATCTGCAGGCTGGTCATCGTTGTCGTCGTTCTCAACAGATTGCTTGCGGAAGGATGCCGAAATGGATGCCCTGGCATCCTCGTCGTACCCCAAAGTCATCAGGAGCTTCTCGCAGCAAGCACGTTTGCTTGCACTGCCGCCCAGAGGACACCCTTGGTCGACACAAAGCGTTCGTAAAGCGTTGGCACTCAAGCCTTGGATCTGGATATCAACTTCTTCAAATCAAAATCACCGTCTCTGTCTGAAACCTCCCGGAAGCAGCCCCAAACCCATGCACAGCGAAAACTGACTCAGGCTAGCTTGGTAGCGGCTGGCATAATGCTCCAAGGCATGATTCAGCAGGGGTCGGGAGTCGCCCATCTTGAGAACGATGCTTGAAAGCCCCGGCACGGCTGTGTTGAACACCGGCTGACAGTCGAAGATGCGACAGTCTGCCACCGACGACGGGTTGACGTCCTGCAATGAGCAAGGTTGCAGCTTCTTGAAACTGGATGCCCCTTCTGCTGTTGAATGTGACACCCTTTCAGTTCCCCTTCAACTTATTCTCCTCGATATGTATAAACACGATGGCACTTTTCTCCTTTCGCTTCGAGCAAATGTCTCAAAACTGCGAGACCCAAACTGCATAATTAAGTCTGGGGCTGGGGATTGCTGCGATTGGCGGTAATTCTGCTAGAAATTTGTCAACCCTGGCAAGAAACAGGTCCTTCAAAGCAAAAGTTTCAAGCGGCAGCACAGCTGCCCTGACTCGCTCGCCACGGATCTCCACATCCTGCAGCACCAATGGCCAGACTTTCAGATGCACATAGGGGGCATCGACGACGAGCCACAGGTGCTCTCCACAGCCGAGCACCTGCACACGGACAGAAAAACTCGGATGAAAAGGACACTACCTGGCACTTTACAAACTCCAAAACGTGGTAGTGCGAGAAACCCGCCTGTCCCGTGCGGCGCAATTCCGCGATCCATGTTGACTGCAAGTCATTCTGCAGCCGCAAGACTGTGGACCAAAGATTCAAGGATCTTCGGGTCAGATGATGGGCAGATGTTACTGTTGCTCGGACCACTGCATTAAATCCGGGCAGTCCAGTGTCCTGTCCAGTCGCTCGACGGGGGTCGAAGATGCTGGACTTGATCGTCTGGCTCGGAGGAATGGCATGGATCTGGCCAGGATCTGCTTGCACGGTCTCATAGTCAGAGTATCTGGTGTTCAGCGCTTTGAGGCTCACAGCTTGGAGCTGGGCCGGCGAAGCCAGACCGGATTGCTTCTTTTCGCCGGACCGCAAGTTGCGGAAGCAGTCCTCGGCCCCCAAACTGCTCGAAGGATGCGGCTCCCAAGCTTTGACGAGCTCGCGAAGGTCGGAGCTGTCCTGGAATCTCCGTTCTTCAGCATATGTCATCAGCTCGCGGTAACAGTACCACCGGGTGAAGCCCAGCTGCTTCAAAGGGTACATCTCTGCAGGCTTTGCAAATTGAGCCTCCAGTTTCAGCAAATACTCCCATTCAGCCTGCATTTCTGTCAATGTCCTTTGGACAATCTCTTTGTTTTCGTCCAACAAGAGGAAACACCGCCAAGGGAACCGTGTGTAAAGCAGTCCAAACTCTGAGAACCTCTGCAAAGTAACGACCACATACCGCCAGTGAGTTGTCAAAATGACATCTTCATCCTCGACATTGAAAAGAACATCTTGCACAGCATGCGTTGCCAATGCATTCTTCAAAGTCCTGAGCATGAGCTCTGGCCATTCCAAGGCAATGAATCTCTTGATCCGCAGCGACCCATACGGCCGGACATCTTCCTTGACCTATCGGGAAACGTGAAAAACTGAAGCTGAAGAGGTCAAAAATTTTGAAGATCGAGCCTCGGCAGCTTGAAAAGCACGGAAAGGTTGCAAGCAGTAGAAAGCGGTCTTCGCATGTGCAAAGCATTTCGGTTGCACCAGAACCTTACTTTCAGGGCACCACAAACCCATATTATGTAGCGGGTCTTAGAATGAAACAACTTGCTTCCCTGGGAAACTTTCTGGAACATTAGGGGTCCGAAGATGAATCATATCAAAGTGAAGCCACCCTAAGGACCTTTGGCAGCAGTGCCAGGTCCTCAGGCGATCCCTCCTTGGAAAGGGCGATGCCGATCTCCTTCAAGGGATTTTTCCCCTCCAGCGTGAGGCCCAAGAGATGAAACAGGAGCTCACAGTGCCACCGTGTCCGCAGCACCCCAAAGTGGTCCACGAAGTCCCCCCACCGCGATGCCTTGTGGTCGGCACCGAGAGACTCAGAGGCGGCCACCTTCATGAGTTCGGCCTTGATCTCGGCCATGCTCGCATCCGGCCTCAGCTGCCGCTCCTGGATGATGCCGGGTGCCACCCACTCCAGCAGCACGTGGTCCTCCGGCAGACTCGACAAGCTCTGCCGAGCCTCTAGCAGCCGCCTGCCGAAGCTCGAGGTCTTGTATGGACCCTTTGCGTACTTCAGGACCAACATCACTTGTCGCTTGGCGAGCTGCACCTGTGGCACAGCGGCCGCTGCCAAGACTTCTTCCCTGGCCAACTTGTGACTGCAGTCTCGATGAGCAAAGACTGCCAGACCTGCGTCTGCGAGTTGGAAGGCGGCACCGATGTCGCCCTCGTCGGACAACGTGCTCAGCCTCACGGTTTTGCTGAACCCCGCCACAGCAGAGCACTGCCATACGGCAGATTTGTTGTCTCTGTTGTACAAGTACGGCAATCGCAGACCCTCCTGCTCCAGGTATTCACGAGTTTCGCTGTTGCTTTTTGGGCGTAGCATGACCGGCGGCGACGAATCTGCAAACTTGTAGCCAAGCAGGTGTCCGAGCGAGCCGTTGATGCCCAAAAGCTTCGTCCTCGTCGAGGACTTCTCAGCACTTGACAGATCTTTCTGGGCAGCCGACGGCTTCAGTCTGTTCAGCGAAGTGGGTGCAGGGAGTCTCTCCTCGGCATTCTGCAACTTGCGAAGGTTCTCGGAGTCGTCGGCATCGATGCTCCTCTTCAGCTGAGGCATCAACACCAAAGGTGCGGAGACGACGAGTCCGTCTGTCGAGATCATGATGGTCATGACCTGGCAGGGTGTGTTTAGGGGGAAGAAGAAGAATTGCCATTCAGACAATGTTGGGGTGCAAACTGAGGGAGCAATCAAAATGAAGCGGCCTCGTGACTGGAGACCTTCGCCCCGTCCTCGTAAAAAGCCAAGTGCCGGAATCTCTGCTCGGCAAGTTTTTCGACGAATCGCTGAGCCGAGCTGGCAAAGTATGCTGTAACATACTGGGCGGCCGCCACTGTGCCCAAATTTTTCGAGCCACACCCAGCGATGCCCTGGTCGAGCAGACCGTCACCATGCAAGCTCGATGAAACGAATCCTGATTTCTTGGTCAAAAACCGCTTCAGCAGTTCCTCACGGACGAGCTGGGCATGTTTCGTGAGACTGCCCGATGTCCAGGGCGTCTGACAGTCTGGTTCATCTTCCGGTTTCGGCACACGATGTCTCAATCGAATGGAGCCGTCACAAAAGGCCTGCTCAACTGCTTGTGCAACGATCTGCAACATCCGTTTCTGCAGTCGGACTACAGGTACAGATTCAAGGTCTGGCTGCAGTCGCATGCAAAACCAGAGAAGGTCTGCAACATGCACGAAGCCATCCAGGTTGCTTCGTGCCGTCCCCAAAGACACACAGTTCTCCCACCTTCGCACTTCCAGGCTAGGAAACAAGTAGGCAGGGCAAAGCAAGGAAAAAAACCGCAACTTTACCCGACACCTCTAGCCCAGCCTCTGTCGAAGTTGTGCTTTCGCCTCCTCTCCGAAAGCTGCGAAGAAACGTTTCAGCTTCAGCTGCCCAGTCACCACTTTCAGTGGAAGGTTTGGCAAGATTGCCACACCGTCAGGAAAAGAAGCCAAAGGCACTATCTTCCTGAGGACCGAAAGTATCTTGGATTGTGTTTGAGAGTTCAATCCTCGGACCTGGGCCATGATGCCGAAAGCCATCAGCATCCCTGCAGTGGTGAAGAGATCATGATGCACACCCGGCAGCGTGGTGACCTCCTGTTCGCCCTTGTAGCTTTCCGGCCGGACGATGTGTCGCGAGGACAAATCCCACGACCTTTCTGCCTCAGCGATGGCCCCCGTTCTCAGCTGCCGCGAATGCCACTGAAAAAATTCTGTGGTCAGGCCGAGCTTGGCCCAGATGTCGGAAACCATCCAGAAATGCTCAAAGCCCTGAGCAAATCACTCATCCACGGCATCCACCTCACAGGGGACAAATGAGGAAGCAGCGTTGCACGGGAAGTACAACAGTAGCTAGCAGCAACTTACACTGCACATCAGAACCGCGATGCCTTGACGATGCTGACGGTGTCCGGCTCCAGTCGGAGAAACCGGATGAGGATCGAGCTCGGTTTGGGCTGAGTGGCATCGCCACTGCTGATCTTCTCGATGTTCTCATCCAGGGTGGTGGGAGCGGACGACCCATACAAGGTGCCGGGTGGCACCGGGAAGTCGCACTGCAGCCTCAGCTCCTCCAAGCAGTCGTCCAGCAGCCTTGGATCAACTACCTGTCCATCCAAGGCCCGTAGAGGGGCTTTTCGCCGGGCCGCCAACTCCAATGAAACGAAAGCCCGAATGAAGTCGGCAGAGGAATGGATGCGATTTCGGAGGTAGCTGAAGAGTCGCTCTTTCAGTGTCGGCTGATTCGCAGGCTGATCCAACTGAAGCGGAGGGTCCATGCCGGTCCCAGGCCGGTCGCTCATTCAATCACACAGCATCGGGTGAGGGGAAACACACAGCGTGACAGTTGCAGAACTTTCAGTTGCACTTGAAGCCATCACCACTGGCCCTCCGATGTGCATCCCATGCCGGATGCATGTAGAAGGGCCCACTCAACTCGTCAAAATGACGTTTGAAGCTGACAAGAGGAACCTTCCAAAAAGCTAGAATCTGTTAGAAGCTGATGCTACTCCGTTGGATTATTCGACACGTCCTGAGTTCACCTTGCAAGACGAAGTAAGGCTCATGGACTACATCCACATCCCACCGAAAAGCACAACCCTTTCAAGTTCGCAAGAGCGGCGGCAAACAGCACATGTTGAGGCAACGGTGTGATGTGGCACACGAAGCGAGGACTCATGGGACCAGGGTGAGCAACGTTTTCAACCGGGATTGCGACCTGGCCTCAAGGGCCGTGGATCCTTGCAGCTCAAGGTGACCAGGCCGGACCTCGGCATGAGCACAGAGGTCAAGCTCGAGCACGTAAAAAGCAGAGATTGTGTGAGCACTGCCCTCGGCGATATCAGTAGATTTGCATCAGAAATCCACTCAGGATTCTTCATTGCAGCAAGTGCATTACCAAGCATGTTTGGGCACATGAGACGGCTGGAATGTGTGCAACTGCGACAGCTCGGCATGTATGCACAGGCGAGAACTCCAAGATCCGGGCCCGAACAGAGCACTGTGCCTTTGGATTGCCTGTGAAAGTGCTGCTGCTACTGTTGCTGCTGCATTCAACGCGATATAAACGAGCACTTCAACAAAGCACTGATGCAACTTCAAAAGTGGTTTATTCCGGCTGCCACTACACTGGCTACACATCTCGTCCTGCACCCTTGCAACCAGCCCCCGGCGAAGCCGGTTGTGTCCCTTGTCGTAGAGGAAGCTTCTGGCCTCCCCGCAAAAGTGCTGCTGTTGCAACGAAGAAACACTGGTGGTCTGCTCGGGCTGCAACTACACTGCCTGCACAACTCGTCCCACTCCCTGGCCACAAGCCCCCGGCGGTGTCGCCTGTGGCTCTTGTTGTAGAGGAGGTCTGGTCTGCCCGTGAAAGTGCTGCTCTTGCAATCAAAGCGATGTAAACTAGCACTTCCAAGCAGAACTCATGCAACTTCAAACAATGTCTGTTCCGGCTGCAACCACAGTGGCTACACTACACACATCGTCTTGCCCCCTGGGAACAAGCCCCCGGCAGCGTCGGTTGTAGAGGATGTCCGGCCTGCCCGTGAAAGTGCTGCTGCTGCAGCCAAAACGATGTAAACTAGCAATATCAAAGAAGCTCCGATGCAACTACAAACGTGGTCAATTCCGGCTGCAACTAGACTGCCTGCACATCTCGTCCTGCTCTCTTGCAACGAGCCCCCGGCGGAGTCGCTTGTGGCCCTTTTCGCACAGGAGGTCTGGCCTCCCCGTCAAAGTGCTGCTGTTGCAACGAAAAAAAATCATGCAACTTCACACATGGTCTGTTCGGGCTGTAACTACACTGCCTGCACAACTCGTTTCACTTCCTGGCCACAAGCCCCCGGCGGTGTCGGTCGTGGCTCATGTTGTAGAGGAGGTCTGGTCTGCCCGTGCAAGTGCTGCTCTTGCAATCAAAGCGATGTAAACTAGCACTTCGAAGCAGAACTCATGCAAGTTGAAACAATGTCAGTTCCGGCTGCAACTACACTGGCTACACATCTCGTCTCGCTCCCTGGGAACAAGCCCCCGGCAGCGTCGGTTGTAGAGGATGTCCGGCCTGCCCGTGAAAGTGCTGCTGCTGCAACCAAGACGATGTAAACTAGCAATATCAAAGAAGCTCCGATGCAACTACAAACGTGGTCAATTCCGGCTGCAACTAGACTGCCTGCACATCTCGTCCTGCTCTCTTGCAACGAGCCCCCGGCGGGGTCGCTTTTGGCCCTTTTCGCACAGGAGGTCTGGCCTCCCCGTGAAAGTGCTGCTGTTGCAACGAAAAAAACACTCATGCAACTTCACACATGGTCTGTTCGGGCTGCAACTACACTGCCTGCAGAACTCGTCCCACTTCCTGGCCACAAGCCCCCGGCGGTGTCGGTTGTGGCTCTTGTTGTAGAGGATGCTTGGCCTGCCAGTGAAAGTGCTGCTGCTGCTGCTGCAACCAAGACGATGTAAACTAGCACTTCAAAGAAGCTCCGATGCAACTTCAAACGTGTGCTCTATTCCGGCTGCAAAGCCTACACTGGCTACACATCTCGTCTTGCTCCCTGGGAACAAGCCCCCGGCAGCGTCGGTTGTAGAGGATGCTTGGCCTGCCCGTGAAAGTGCTGCTGCTGCTGCTGCTGCTGCTGCAACCAAGACGATGTAAACTAGCAATATCCTACAAGCTCCGATGCAACTTCAAACGTGTGCTCTATTCCGGCTGCAAAGCCTACACTGGCTGCCAATCTCTTCCTGCTTGCTGGCAACATGCCGGCTGGGGAGTCGGCTGTGGCCGTTTCGTAGAGGACTGGCCTGGGAGCAGACAGAGGCTTCACTGCTCACAGACACATAATAAAATTAAAAATAAAAAATAAAAAATATTTTAAAAAAATTGAGATGGCGCGGAGAGCGGAGAAGGCGCGGAGGTGCGTTTTTGTGGTACATTACAAAAAAACAGAGCACGTGGCCTTCTCCACGTGACGTGGCCTTCTCATTTTTTTCGTCGGCTTTGCATGTCCCCGTGCGAAACTGAGATGGCGCCCACTTGCGGAGCGAGCGAGCAAGCCGGCAAACACAGGACGGACGAAGGATTTCCCTCTCCCAGCCTGATCCCCTGCACTGCTTCGCAGTGACGGTGCGACAGATGAGCACACTCGTTATCGGATCCTGCCAAATCAACTGAAGTCCTCAGTGGCCTCCAAAACACTTCGCAACATGTCCTGCCAAGGGTTCTTATGGATCACAGGATGCAAGA